GCTATTTATTTTCTCATTGAGTGTGAGTGTGCTGCTTCTGATTACGTAGCAGAAAAAGAACACAAGGTGTGATGGATCATGGGTCACGCATCAGAGCAAGGGCCACAGTAATGATTAACAGTCTGTGTTTCTGTACTGCACATGTTCTTGATGGAGCAACAATGATGTGAAAAGTTCAAAGAGTATTTCCGAGGCTCTGGCAAGGCTCACACCCATGTTTGCCTCTGAAGTTTTTTAAACAGTTGCCAAGAGAAACTTCTCCACATAAACATAACAGATGCTGTTACTGGATTGTAATCAAGCCTTTGCATATTTTTGAGTGTGCTTAAACTTGACTAAAAATCCTTCTCAGAATAATGAAATGCATTTCTGTTCCATATATCACTATTTTTCCAATCTGACTGTGTTAGCTGCTTTGCCATCACAACTGTCTGACGTGGGACAAGGGTAACTCGGCTCCCCTCCATAGGCCACAACATTGCTTGCTCTGTTCCTAAGCTGTGGTCACTGACTAGCAGCACCTGGCTGTTCCATCTCCCAGAGCAGGATGAGAAGTTTGTGCTGAGGCTGCTTGTGATAGCACATAGAACATCCTTATTGCATTATGTATGGAAGGAAATAATAGTTTCCATCTCTCTTTTCTGATAGTCTCTATGATAATCATTCTGTTACATAGTTTCATTCCTCTGACTCTGCCTGTACAGTTTCTCCTGTTGAAAACTAAAGCCAGAAAGGAAATTATGATAGATTTAATTTTTTTCTACTTTGGAAATGTGTACTTGCATTTCTCACATCTCTTTTGACTCCTTTGGGCCTTGAGTGAGGTCCTAAAGCTGTGGTGCAGGGATACAGAAAGTCCTGCATTATAGATATGAGCCACACTTCAGAAAGTACTGCAGCTGCAAGATGCTGATCCAGAGTTTACATTGCTGTAGCAGTCAGAGGCCCTGCAAGGCCTCCCTGATGGTCACTCACCTAAGATAAGAAATGCCCAGTCACGGTGACTGGACCAAAGAAGCTCCTCTTCTGCATTCAGACCCTTGTTATCTCTCTGTAAGGCTATAGGTTGTATTCTCCTCAACCCTGGCCACTGGACAATTTCCAACACCCCTGCACCCTGTATCAACCCCCATCTCTGCCCAGTTTGGCAGAACTGTCCCTGCACCCCTTCACAGGAGCTGAAATTAAAGGACACCGCTGTGGAACCACATACAGACTTCTCCTCTCCATCTCCCTGTGTCTGTCTGAGGAACTGGCGAGCACAGAGCAAAATCACTGAGAGCTGGATTTACCAGAGCTGAAACCACTGAGAGCTGGATTTACCAGAGCTGAAATCACTCCAGAGGGGCTCGCTAAGTTACCTGTGGCTGGGAGCTGAGCCGAGGGACCCAGCCAGGCTGAGCCCAACAGCCCAGCGCTATCCCGACACCCACGGCAGCGGCTGCTGGGGGTCGGATGGACCCCTGCTCCAGACTACATTACATTGCCACTTCAAGCCTGGTAAAGAAGCAAAATGCACAACCTCCCGTATTCAACACATGCACAGGGAATGTGTGTGTGTGACAGCATTTGTTTTCCAGCATGGAAGCTAGACGGGCTGCTTGTTGTATTTTGTTTTCTGGCTAAGACGTGTCCCTGCTTCTGATCTGGATGAAGCTGGTGGTGCCCACAGCTGCTGCTAGTGACAACACAGCCACAGCCTTGCTGACAGCAGCTCAGTTGCTGCATGGAATTAATGGCTGCAAATATTTAAACTTACTGTGTTATGCCAGAGGCTCCGACGTGGCAGTGGTCTGATGGCTCCTGACTGATGCCAGCAATTCCACTGGTACTTGTAAGCTCTTACTGCCCTGAGCAGGAGGGACCGGAGTGAAAAGACCAGAGGGAACTCAGAGGAAAATTAACTGCTGCAGCTGAGTGCACTTGAGAATGAAACCATCCGAAGTTATCTTTAACCTTTTTACGTGAATATTGCCAGACAACATAGTGTATAAATTACGTAATAAGTCTTTTTGATTCTGCATATTTCATTGCCATTTGTACTTGAAATTCAAACTTCAAAGTATTAACCCCTCATATTTGGATTATTTATTAAAATAAATTGCTGAATTTTCTACAATGGCCAAATGTGCTCTTCCTGAAGAGGCTGATATAGAGCCTGATTCAGAACACTATGATATAAATATATTTATATGCATATATATGTGTATATTTGTGTGTATACAAGCATATATGTGCATATGAATATATCTTCATTTATATTTACTGAATGTTGCTCCTTCTGTTGCAGCTTAAAATGTGGCTAAAAAATAAATTTATACACCAAAGAGTAGTAACAACCCATCCACTTCCTCCACTGTCAGCCAATAGTGAGGAATTGCAGAACACCAAGCTGAAGAGCACACTTTAATTTGAAACCTGCCACATTAGCACTAGTGAGAACTTCTGTTCTGCTATATATCATAACCCATATCATAACTGATTGAATCATTTAACTCCCCAAGACTATTCAGCAATGTTGCAGAGGAATGTTGGCTTAGAAGCAGAGTCAGAACTTGATAAAGCAGATTGAAGACCTTTGTACATATTGCAGCTCATGCTGAGAACTGAGCACAAAGAGGCAAATTGAGAAATCTTGCCAAGCACAACAGAAGGCATTTGCAAAAACACAGGGGTGGCTCTTTATAGCAAGAAGCTATGGAATTATGAAGGAGTGTCAGAATTACAGAGGCATCAACACCCTTTGGCTCAGGTCACTCTCCTTAGTGGACCTGGCCAAATGAAGCAGAATCCAGCTTTGAGGAAGGCAAATCAGAAAATACTCTGGTGGGGAAGAATAGATTTATTCTGTTTTAAGAAAAGACTGAGATCTAATTAACTCTGTTAACTCTAATAACCTGTTAATACAAGTTTGAAAGTCATTTATAGTTTCACAGATGTGTTATATATATGCACATATAATCAGAATTGTTCTCATTGATATGATAATCTAATGAAAAATGCAAGGTTAATAACATTTCTTTATGTAAGTAATGGTAGGATTACTGCAAGATTCCAGGAACTATTGCATCTTCAGGAAAGGCTGTCTTTTATTTTTTATTCGCCTTAATGTCCTAGGTACTGAAAGGCAAAAAAAATCCTTTTACAAGAGCTTTTAGTTAAATATTTCACTGTTGCCTCATCTGATCCAACCTTTTGGTTCATTTAGCACCATGTCCAGTTGTATATTGAAAACTTCCAGTTGGGGGTACTCCACCATGTTCCTGGAAAACCTCTGTGAAACCTCATTGCTCTTGTACATATTTAACCTCTCAAAGGCTTCACTCTTTTCTACAAGCAATGGGCACTGACATATAAATTACAGAATCACAATCTTTGGGCTTAAATTCTGCTTCTTCCAGATTCATCACACAAATTAAAACAACTTTTTTGTTATAATTTCTTATCGAAGAAAATTTTCACATACGTATAAAAGAAAATTCACTCTATATTCTATTCCACAAAAAGTATGCTTTTAAAGCTCTTTACTAAGTTTTCCAGTGTGGTGCATATATATATATATATATATATATATATATATATATATATATATATATATATATACATAGAAACACACACATATGTGTATATATAATTTTTTTTTTCTCAAGACATAACTCCTTTTTTAAGTAAGCGTCAGATTTGCTTCAGCTAAATGCTAGTCAAGCTAAGAAACTACATATTCAAGAGATACTTGCTAATGATTTGGAAAAATTAAACAATCTGAATTGTTTGAAGTTTGGGGCTATCATCTGAGGCATTTCAGTTCAAAAACCTTTTCAAAAATGCATCCACATTCTATTTCTGTGTCCAAGTCTAAAGAATACACATAACACATTTCAGAAACAGATGGATTATCAACATACTCAATTTTTTTGTTGCTTGGATAATTATGTGCATGAGTCTTCCTCAAGGTATTTGGCAAGAACATTTTCACCCTTGAGACCCTCTTGACATCCATTTGTGAACTTTATCTGTGTGAGTCATGCATGTATGTAAGTGCAGTTAAAGTGCTTATTTTGAGAGAGAAAAGGAAATATATGCAGTGTTGCTGAATCCATAACATTATATGCATTCTACACAAGTACACAAGACACAAGTATTTATTAAAATAAAAAGCTTTAATGCTTTTGCATTTAAAAGACTTAGCAGAAAATAATTGCTACAAACATGCTACAACATACATGTTCAAAAAGTTTTCAGTGCTTTCTTTCAAAGTTCAGCATTTTGGCAAAAATAAGTTTTTCTGTATATACTTCAAAACTTGGCTATCATAATACTGATATAAAATACTTCATGTAAAGTCAGGTGCATAAAATACAATAAGTAATAAAACATACTGCTTGTATAAACATTTAAAGTATAAATTTCATTAGATAACATGCAAATACTGCAATATTTTAAATGGCACTTAAATATAGATACTGAGATTCTTTATATTTTGCATCCAATATGAGATTCTGAAATGTACAAAACTATAAAAAGAACACATCTCTTCACTGAAGTCAGGAACTAGCATAGAGCTTGATTGTCATTTTACAAGCAGTGAGCCCAAAGTCCTGCAAGTCTTCACTAGTCCAAGGAAAGATGTCTACTGAAACAGGCCCAGGGCTAGTTATTTTCTTCATAATAAAACATGAAAGCATATTTACATGAGAATAAACTCTTAAATTTTTGGTAAGGTAATTAAGTAGCAGCAATCTGTTTCTTCCAAAAATGATCTTTAAAATAGGTACATGCTTTCATTGTCACTGATATGCATCTGAATAATATAAAATTAGCATTCTTCAGTAAACTCAAAACACTGTTTAGTTCATGGCTGAAAAAACCCTGTAAGATCCCTTCTCCTCAAAATCGTAAATCCATAATGTCAGAACCTTCCAGAACATATTTATGTTTCCAATCTAATTGTGCTGAAACAGTCACCTGACTAGTTATGAATAAGAGAATAATCTTTTCACATTATTCAGATACTTTTAGTCCTTCATTGAAAAATGTAAGTTCACCAAATCTTCCACATTTTTTGTTTTCTGGTTCAGTGATCAACAACTCCATATGTCCTTCACAATACAAATGCCACAATACTCATGCATATTTCCCAAGCAGTTATATGCAGTATCTCAATGCTGATGACAAGGGGAATAGAAGGCTTAGGAATAGGGAGTGCAGAGCAGGCACCACTTGAGCAGAAGCGGAAGAAATGCTATATGAAACTTGTACTTGAGATGCAATTAGAGCTGACAGTGGCACATGTGATGCTAATGTTGGGCTGTCCGAATTGATCAGAGACTCGATCTTCTCTGCCTCTTTATTGCAGGCTTCAATCTAGAGGGAAAAAAAGTTATTATTTATCTTCTTACCATGTAAAATGCCAATGCAAAAATATTCTCATCAGCACATAATATTTATATAATTTTGGGGAGCACTTGGAAAACAGATCAGAGGTACTATAAAAACTCCTGTGGAAGCCCTGAGCAGTAGAAAAGGAAAAGGAATGAAGCTATACAAGTCAGTGTGGGATGATACATTTTGAATGTTGATGCAAAAAAGCCCACAGTGAATTATCACTAAAGAAAGTGCCTCTAAAACTGAGAACTTCCTTCCTGATTGACCAACTTAATTCCTTGAAGTCTGCAATGGTGGAAAAACCCAGATTTTCTCCTTCCAGGAATTTTTATTCCAAATGAGAGATAACTGACTTTGTTTATGGGAAAGGGAGAAAAGAATGGAAGTAACAGAACGTGGGAAACCGCAGGTTTCCATTCCCCCACTGGCATGATGCTATTAATGGATTTCTGTTAGGAAATTAATTTTTTCCACTTCATTTTCTACTGCACCCTAGAAAGGAATTTAGTAATAAGTCTCTTTAAAAGCATTAGAAGCTGCCTCTGGTGAAGTTTAAGCTTGACAAGCTTAATATCTGGAGGTCCAAAGCTTTGAAAGTTGAGATGTGTCTAGCTCAGCAATGGGTGCCACCAAGCAGTGGTGGCCTCCTCCCCCCAGGAATCTGACAGCACCTGCTGCAGATGGGAGTGAAAAATGACCAGGCTGAATGACCAGGCTGGCAAGACTTTCCTTCCTAAGTCCTGGAAAACATTTTGGGCTATTTCTGCTAGAGAAGGAGACAGAAGTTGGAGCTGAGTAGGACATAAAAGGGCATGAGCAATGAAATGACACACAATGTATCTGCCTGAGAAACAAGCACCATCCTACACATACAGAAGTCAAGCAAATTAATGCTGGGTAGACAAAATAATAACATCATCTACCTGCAATGGTTTGGGGTTCTGATCCACAGGAATGATGAGAATTACAATTTCTGATTCTATGCTTAAGTATCCAAACACATCACACTGTGGCACTGACACATGCAGGCGGATTTTTTCAAGTATATCAAGTACCGTTATTGGCTTTTTATTTGTTACCTGGAAGAAAACAGAGAACTCTGTGGATGATGTGATATTATGTAAAATTCCCAGTTTTATAACATTATGTCATGCCAGAAAGTATGTTTCAGCCATTCCAAACTCTACTCTTAATGCTAGCAAAAGACCTAAAGGATTCAATGTTTCTAAAACATCATTCAAAGAAATGATTCCCTGATTCCAAAAAAATAACCCCTCCAAAAATGTGGAAAAAAAAAAAAAGTTAAGGAAAGAAAGAGGAAAAATATTCTTATATTAACTGTGGTTTTGATATGTGTTGGCCACCTTCATGGTTAGTGTCTATGCATCACGTACCTCAAAATAATGTAACTGGTTATCTGTTACACTGGTTACAGTGGTTTGTGCTCCCACACTGGAAAACAAGAGGCAGAGCAGCCCTAGATTTATAGAACTCTGTAGTATTTGAAGGAGTTTTTTCTCACATGAACCAGGTGTCTGAACTAAAAGAGGCAGACATTACAATCCAGGTATTAGGGTGCTTAGTAGGTGAGAGCAGTTATCACCAACTACTTGAATAAGACCAATACATTTCTTTAACTAGAAAGCCTTCTTCTAACAGAAACTAAAAATTCTTCTTCACAGTCACATATTGTAATGTATGAACTGAGAAGCTGCAGTAGCCACTATGACCCTGGTACCACTAGAGATGACAACTGGACAGCTATCCATGATGCAGTCATGACCCTACAGATTCTGTTATTCAGCAAAATTGGTCAGCACACATACACAGCATCTATAAACATAAAATCTCTGACAGGAAAGCAGTAGAATCATAGATCACAGTAGAATCATTTAATTTGTCTGCATTATTACAATTCAAAAACTGCAAACTGCAGTATTACAAACTGCAAACCTGAGTCTGCTTGTTTGTGCATAATCTAATTCTGTTTTGCTTTGGATTACAATTCAATTTATGATTCAGATAAAAAAATAAAGGAAAGTATAAGCAGTATAAGGAAAAAAAAACACCCTACAATCACAAATAACAACTAAAAATAATAGCTTTTATAACATGTTAACCTTTCAGGAGGAAGTGCATGGTAACTTGACTTTTCATATACCACTTAACATTAGGCATGATTGAACTGTTTACCCTTGCAAAATTATCCAGCTTGTCTTTGTCATATAAAATTCTCAGCATTCCAGCACATAGTGGACAGCAGGCTCCTATGTGAAGTAAAGAAATCTCAGTAATAAAAACAAATAGTCTTTTCACTTTTAAGTTAGCAAGAGTCAAAAATTGAATATTAACTGAAAATGAAAACAGTAAAATTACTAAAGCAAATGTTTCAATTTGACAGCAGAATTGCACATTTCTTATGTTCTTTTAATATTGAAAACATTTATAATGCAAAATCAGTTACCTTTCGACACACATTTACTACTATCAGCAAGAAGCAAAAAGATGAATTTTAATTATTTTTAAAATCCTTCATTATTGTAAACTAAAAACTGGAGGCACTGTGTGTACCACAAGATTTTGCATGGATGCATGCATATCACCTACAGAAATGATGGATTTCAAGAGCTAATAGTGTTAGTACATGACAGAAGCATTTATGCACATTGCAAGCATTAATTTCTGCAGTTACACCATGTTGGAGAGTAAAATCTTTAGATAACAAGCGAGAAAAAGTGCTTGTCTGACAGACATTGTATTTCTCCGACTGTTTTTCTTCACCATGTCAGAAACCAAAGGGATAATATTTCAACTTTCTATCCATGCCTCTATATTAAATCCACTCTCCAACTTACATGTAATTCACATTCACAGAGTGACATTTACAGTAATAAATGTGATTATAAAACATGAAGACCTTTTTCAAAGGGGGTGACAAAGGAGAAAAATAAAACATATATTTCAAGAACAGAGCTTTTCTTGCTCTGTGTATTACCAATGATTAGTTATTGTTTCATAAAGGAAGCACTTGTGAAAACAATAAAAAAGTGGCTCAAGCTAGCACACTGCAAAACTACTGCTATCTTCTACAGCATTGTGAATACATGCGGTATTTTACTCTGTCTTCTAATTAAATACAATCTTTGCCCTTCTGGGAACCCTATGCTGATGACAGCTCAGCATTCCACTATAGTATCTGTGCTGCCACTTCCGAAAAATTACTCGCTGGATTCCTAGAAGCATCGTACCTGGACACCACAGAGCTCACTTGTTTCTCCCAAACCCATCCCAGCTGCCAGTCTCTAAGAGACCAAAGGAGCATCCCCCTAAAGCCAAGGCCTTTCCACTTCAGGTTTACTCATCTGAGTCCCGTTACTGGCTTGTTTTAGCTCTGAGCAGAGTCATTACTTTACGCTTTCTGTTAATACAACATTCTAAAGGCTGCGTTTTGTTCCAAGTATCGCCCTGTTTTTCCCCAGAGCCCAGGGCACTCTCCCCTCTCTGCAGGGACCCGCCTCACCTGGCGCAAGGACTGGTTTGCAGGCGGTGGCAGAGAGCTGGGGGCAGCTGACGAAGGCACACTCGGAATGGAAGCCGTGGTCGGAGAGCACGCCCACGGCCTGGCAGTGCCCCTGGTAGTCCACGGCCACGCGGTCGGCGTAGGCGGCGCAGACGCTGCCGTAGGTCTCCCCGTTGTGCCCGCACACCGGCTCCAGCGACCTGCAGAAGGGCTGCAACGCACAGCAACGCCCGCAGCGTCAGCTCAGCCCTGCTGCACAAGCTGCTGAGTAGTTTCAACACAAGGAAAGCCAAAGTTTATGGGAATTCACTACTAATGTTGTCAGAATTTTGAAAAGGTAGGAAAGCCAGAGGAAATAACCTGCTAGTTTATGAATGGGCCATAAATGAGAAGGATAAGTACTTCAAGAAGGTGACAGAGTTTGGGAAATGCACAATAAAACATATTTCAGAAACTAACAACTTTTGTTCTGTCCAATGCTTAAATAAAATGACCGTATTTAAATTAACTTTACTATACCTTAAAATATTATATTAATAAAATTAATTTGTTAACAACTCATTTGTAACTTATTCATTCATCTTAGTGTTGTTTTGTGTACTTAAAATTTAGTGTGCGTGCACATGTGTTTCTAACAGTTGTATATTTTTATACATCACTTATTTACCTATATTTCTTATATTTGTGTATGTGTTATTGTAAGGTGACAGAAGTGGCTCATCCAACACCACCATACAGAGTGGTGGGATGCAAAAACTAAACCTAATTTTAATCCTTCTCAAGGACTAATATGAAGACTAATCCAATGCACACTAACTAGGAAATTATTACACACTGCCTAGTCTGTAAATAGATCCTGAGCAATGAACTTGGTAAACCTGAGGCACAATCACACAAAAGGTAAAGACTTTGTATGACTGAGCATTATTTTATATTTAAACAAGTTTAAGTCAGTAAGAATTAGCATTTAAGTAACCATGGAACTGCACTAATTACTGCAACACACCTTAGCGTGCAAGCTTTAATAGCATATATAGGAAGATATAAATATCAAGAGTATTACCCCCAAGAAAGCATAAGTAGAACTTTTGATTGGCTGTGAGACAACTGTTAACTAAAGCAGAGAAAGATTTGACAAAATTCTGAAGATTGTGAAATTATTTTTATATTAGTTAAAAATAAGTTTTTAAATTACTACTTTTTATTAGAACACTTTATAAGCTATAAACCCCAAAAATAATACTTAAAAAAACACCCAAAGAAACAAACCCCATTTAAAAAAATAAAAATAGTTAAGTTGAACACCAAGGAACAAAGAAGATTTGATACTTATTGCCAGAACCACTTCCTACCTGGCATGGTCCTTGGTATGCTAAACTTTTTCCTTTTTGGTACAAAGTACACAAGTTAGTATATTCCACATTGTCTGTGTCACAAACAGGATCCCGTGTCTGGTCACAATTTAACTGCCTTGGCACACATTCATGCTGGCTGCATTCAAACTTCTCAAAACTGGTCAAGCAAACTTGTTTCTTTGGTATGCACCTGCAGAAAGCCATAATAATTTCATGTCATGTCATGGGATTATTTTTTGAGGGAAAATATTTTCAGTGAAATTTTCTCCAGTGCTTTAGAACTAATTGTGGTTCAGCAGAGCGGCAGGAAATACAAGTGATAGAACGCTCTGAATAGCCCTTTTCAGATCTCATCACAAACCTGGGTCAGTTTCACACCTCGTTTACTCAATGTATGTCAACACAACTGCGGTTTCCACTAACATTTATCTTTTACCAAGTATTTTTCAATGGATTACTGACAAATGCTTGGAAAAACTTCTTACCTACTCCAATACTTCATTTTGTAGATGAATATTTAGAAACATGTAGGCTACAGAAAACATGGAACAGCAAGAATAAAAGATTCTATTGCAGAGGTCTAGTCTTGCCCTTCTTTGAGAAAGGGGTGAAAACAAGACCTACAAGATTATATGGTTTCAATTACAAATATCTAATTGGATTCTAGCTTTGGAGGTTTGGAATATTGTACGACATTCCATCTAGAGGATGATTGCAAACAGAAAAATCTTGTATTTACCCTTTCTTACCATCCATTCCTCTGCACGCTTCAGAGACAAGAACAGACAGAAAACCAGCACAATTTCTTTCCCTTTTCAATAAAACATGTACCTTCCACAATCTTATCTGCAAAAAATTTGACATAGGCCCTGCAAGGCATCCCTCTGCTACAGAAATGCCAGCCAATGCAGTCTGCTGAGCAGGCTGATAAAAGGTCTCATGGCCTCTCTGGAAAACTCCCTCCTTCAATAAATTACAGCAGTGCTGCCACCACTGGAAAATGCACAATATGTCCTTATTCTCTCTGAGTGCTGCACTCCCATGCATTACAGACTCGCCTTTGATATTAGGGAAGGGTCGGAAATTCTGAGATTTAAACACTTCACAAGTGGAATATAAGATCCTAAAGACATTCCAAGTGCATCAGGGGTACTTTCAGATGAGCATGTTCAGTTTGAGCAGTATTATCAAACTGACCCAGAAAAATATGTACAGACCTTTCCTGAACTACAAGTTGAGGTTCTAAGCATAATGGTATTTTGAAAAACTGGAAAGCCTCTATGTACTCTCCAAATTTCAAACACAAAAGTAAAAAAATGTTTATCCACAACGCAGGTTTGAAATTCCAATTTTGAATGCCATTATGACTGTAACAGCTACAAAATTACAGTGTTTTCTCAGTATTTTTCTGCATCATGGCATTTTAAGTGCAGAAAAAAGAAAAAACCCTAAAATTGCTACAATCAGCTTTCATAAAAGCACAATATTACACAACTTATTTTGAACTTTCTTTCAAAACAGAAAAATGCACTAATTCAAAGGAGACTGCAATATTGCACAACACAGGGAAAATTGGAAGACAGAGACCAATATTGTGAGCCACAGACTCTGTAAGAAAGGTCAGATTTTTTTTTTTCCTCACACTAGTACAAAGCATACTTTTGTTTTAATATATTTGTCTATGCAGATTCTACTTTTCTTGATATTAAAAAAAACAGAGGTTGTACAGACATAGTTTTCACAAGATTTCAGCCTAAGAAAAAGAAAGGGTGATTGATATTTTCCTATTTTAGAGACAAAAAGCACAGATTACTGAATGAATAAGCAAGACTGACTCCAAGTCTTGAAGTCAGATGTGGGTCTTCTTTGTAAACTACTAAAAGGTGTGAAACAAAGTAGTAAAATGACAGTTATTGCCATTTTGACAAAATTTGATTCTCCCACTTTTGAAAGTATATGTGAAGTCTTCTTTATTGCTAAACTGAGATCGGCATAATGAATTTAATTGACATAGCATTACAAAACTGGAACCAAGAACTAGCAGTTATCACAGTCCAATATTACTAATGATGATAAATAAAAAGCAGCTACTTCAAACAGTTATTTTCATTGGAATAGCCTCAAGTAGAATGCTACAATATACAACACATTCAAAGAACACATATTTATGTATTAATCTGCTTTATGAGTGGATGAAGCCAAAGAAAAGCTGAAAAACATATTCTGCTTTTACCTTTGATTTTTATTACAAGGGTTTGGGTTGCAAGGATCCTTGGAAATACATGATCCAAATTCAAACTGGTTGTCATGGAGCCCCACGCAGCGAGCTATGCACGCGCTGGGATATGTGCGCCCGTTCTGGCCACAGACTGGGACAAACTGGTCCACACAGTTACAGGGCAAACCTGCAAGAGCAACACACAGAACAGGGACTGGGTGCACACTCATTTTCCACGACACAAGATACATAATGTGCCACTGAGGCATCTCGCCTTCAGCCCCTTTCTCCTACCTGCCATTTAGCAATGCTGGAGCACAAGGAGCAGGAAGAGAAGTTTGTGTCCTGCCTCTTTGCTCATTCTACTCAGCTTTCTCCATTTTTCCCCTAAACTCTTTATCTCTCATACCTAGTGCACCCTGTCTCTACTTATTTTTACATATTACTTGAGGTCTTATTTTTCAGTATTGATTTTCTTTTTTAAAATATGTGCTTATTCCTGCAGTGCAGGTTGGACGTGAGAAAAATAAATAGTTTAAAAAACATAATAAAAACAAACTATCAGGTGCTTTCCATTAATACTGCAGAAAGAATTTAGTTGATAATTCCTGCTCTAAAAATACTCAAGAGTTTTCATGGTTTGGAAAGTTACCTGTAAACTTCCGACGTTCATCCTCTGAGCTGTGCTCAGTTAGGCACTGACGTGTCGAACAAATCAAGTTTCCAGCAAAACAGGAACAGACGTTGCAATCTATGTTAAAGGAAGCTCCATGGCCTTCAAATAAATTAAGTAAATACATACAATTAATGCAAATAGACCCAAAACCTACATATTCATATGCACTACACAGATATTACATTCTCATTAATTGCTTCTTTTCAGTAATTTCTCTTTTCAGTATATTTTCCCAATGAAATTTCCATCCTTTTTTTTTTTTTCAATAGATTTCAAGTTTTGCTTTATTCACTTACAGAAAAGTCTGTTCACATGTGTTTTTGATTAATTAGTTAACCACAGAAGCAAGCACTTAGTCCTTTCAAAGCCTGTATAAATTAGGTGTTCCATTTATTTTTTTTAAGAACAATAAATTCTGGCTAGCAAGTTTCATATTTTCTTAAAGGTAAAGCTTTTGTAAAGACACATTCTTCTAAATTAAATTTACATAAGCTTCCTAAACTTTTAGTCTCACACATAAAGCACAACTTGTGTCTGTCAAGAGGTAAAAGTTCCTATGCTTCATTCTAGCCTTCATTGGATTGGAATGTATTTTATAAGTCAGTAACATCTTCACACCTGAATCTAAGAATCAAACCACAAACTTAGAGGATTTTTCTTCAATTTAGCAACTCCAGTTTGGTTTTCTGAACTGCCCATATGACTGCCCTTCACCACGATATATGCTTGATATCACATCAATTCATGTCGAAGACAGACTCTGATCTATCTGTAATCAAACTGGTTATTGAAGACTACCAACAAGTACACAGCTCTTGAGGAAAACGTAATAGTAATTACCTTACAAAATAGGGTAATTCCCTCTCATCTCTTTTCAAAAGGTTGAGATTGAGAATGAAAATTTTAAAGAAAATATTACACAGGCACATGGAAATCCCTCAAGACTGGAGCAATTCAGAACACAAATGAGGGCAGAACAAGAGGGGGTGGGAGGAAAGCCTCTGCAGCACAAAAAGCTCTCTTTACACCACAGTACTTCTCAAAGGAGCAAAGAATTTGCCAGCAGAGAAGAAGAAAAGCTTAGAAGCTTTAATGCCAAACCCAGGATCTCAGGTGATTCTTCTGAGTACCTAACTTTGGATCCACCTGAAAACTATGCAGTGCTATTGTCTTTCATTGTCAAAGAGTGCACACAGCAACCCGTCCTCATCAGTAATCATTTCAGTGGTTGGAGTCAACTCACAACACAAAAAAAACACCAGCATTATTCAAAACATTCAGAGTTGTTTTCTTTATAGAGAATGGTTTTAAAAAACACAGTTCAGATGTTATGTCTAAACCCCTTTTTTATATGACTGACATATAAATCAATGAAATATAGTTACTGCAAAATATTTACATGGTGACCATAAACTTTTAATTCTTTGCTTTCAATGCATCATCTTAACAAATTTGGAACCTAGTAATTTTTATTTTTTATTACATAATACCTAGAGTCTTAATCACCACAAACACTTCATAAGTCACTATGGCAAAAGAGAACACTGTCTGGTTGCTGTAGCTTGTTTGTTTGTATTTAAATGGACAGCACTTAGTGAAAACCTACAGCTACACTGTATTTGTTAACAACTGTATCTTAAAAGCATCCACTTTCACCAGATATTTTCTACAACTGCCCATCAAATATATTGCTAATGTTAAGATGTTTTCATTGTTCTGCTTCCATGAACAAATAGTACCAACTCTGAAAAAATAAAAAAAACAAAATAACAGAAGAAAAGTTTTAAGTATGTTTGGCTGCCTTTTATCTTCTTTGGACAAACAACAAAAAAACACATTCCAAAATCCCCCATTCCATTCCCTGGAATACTGCAGGCAGACTTTCCTGAGTGATGAAAATAATAGTTCAATTGCTTATTTAGCTCAACGTGGTATCTTTTGTGAGAAAGAAATATCCCAATTTCCTGCTCTTTCATGATTTAGGTTTTGGTTCCCAATCTGAAAATTATGTTTGTGACAAATGAAACTACAATAAGTGCCTTGCTTCTTAAGTTTTACTTAATGTGAAAATAACTCATATCACATGGTAAAAAAGAAACCTCAGTTATTTTGGACTCATGAGATATTTTTACCTTGCTTTAGCTCTGCTTGTACAACAGTCTGACAGTAGTTTAAAAGGGCTGATTTACAGACACCAAACAATGTCCAGTGCTGAGATATGCAACTGTTCACCAGCAGAATATCTCTTGCTTGCTGATTAAAAGACACCAATTTCAGATAGGTCACAGCTCAGCACAAACTCCATTTTATATTCAAGACCTTTTGTAAGTTCCCCCCTACCTTAGTAGAAGCTTTTCTTTTGTTTTTTTTTTTTTTTTTTTTTTTTTTTTTTCTATTTTTTTTTTTTTTTTTTTTTTTTTCTTTTCTTTTTCCAAGATTTTAATGTCAGTCTGCATGACAAAAATACACATTTAAAGCTCTAAAGCAAAGAGTAAATCTGAAAATAAATCAATATAGCCTTCTACGAACCTGTCACATCTCCTTGAACTCCTTTGACGGTCAGATTAGATAGAACCCAATTAATCCTTGTTACCCATGCCAATTTAAACAGGAAGCTGCTATGGTGAGGAAGACTTTAAAAAGCCACAGTGTTCAATGCACCTTCATCATCATGTAGTTGCTTACACGTTTATTTTTAGGCATATGTTAGCCCCATGGATAAATATCTTAAACTGTAATTCTTACATAACAATGAGATTGTGCAAAATTTATTAGGGGATGTTTAGTGGAAGAGCCAAAGAAAAGGAAAAGGAGGAATTAGGATGAATTAAGTAGGAAGATGTGTGGGAAAGCAAAGGGACAAGGGGAAAAAAAGAATGGTTCAGTGTAGACAGGTAGCTGGACAGTATGCTTTTCTCACTAAACCCCATACTTGATCACCACAACCTATCCTATATTTTTATCTAATCCCATTTTTACACTTTTAAGATGTGTGCTTTCTACT